TAATGATCCTGTGTCTAATATCAGTGTACTATACACTAATGATCCTGTGTCTAATATCAGTGTATTACACACTAATGATCCTGTGTCTAATATCAGTGTATTATAAACTAATGATCCTGTGTCTAATATCAGTGTATTACACACTAATGATCCTGTGTCTAATATCAGTGTATTATACACTAATGATCCTGTGTCTAATATCAGTGTATTATAAACTAATGATCCTGTGTCTAATATCAGTGTATTATAAATTAATGATCCTGTGTCTAATATCAGTGTATTATAAACTAATGATCCTGTGTCTAATATCAGTGTATTATAAACTAATGATCCTGTGTCTAATATCAGTGTATTATAAACTAATGATCCTGTGTCTAATATCAGTGTATTATAAACTAATGATCCTGTGTCTAATATCAGTGTATTATAAACTAATGATCCTGTGTCTAATATCAGTGTATTATAAACTAATGATCCTGTGTCTAATATCAGTGTATTATAAATTAATGGTGCACTGATCCTGTGTCTCACCCCCTTGTGAACGTTGGAGGTCTCCAGTTTCCACCGTAACCTGAAAGTGAAGGCGGACCCCCAGCAGGAGCCCAGCAACAATGCATGATAATTAGCCCTCTGTTGTGATCTGGTTTCTGTCTCGGCCTCTTTGGACTGTGACCTTTGACCTCGTCCCACAACCAGACAACAATCCCTCTCGGCTGGTGGTCAAACAGCCCGTCAATCAGCCTCCTAATAATATGGCCCGGCCCCTGTTGAGATTAGCAGCCGGTGAATGCTTCAAAAGAGAGGGCAGGGGGAGCGACGCGGGAGGGGGGGAGGAGGGAGGGAGGGGGGAGGAGGGTTGCCGGTTAGAGACATGAAACAAATACTGGAATGATTAACGTGACCGGGAGAACAGTGAGATTGTGAAAGTAAAGGATGCATAGTAAAACGTGTAGGTACAGAGGGGGGTCAAATGGCTGCTACATGAATACCTTTTAGCCAGTGAGCAAATGTAACGGAGTACTTCAGTACATCTTCCTTGTAAAATATTGACTGTAAAAGTTGTCAATCAAATGTTGTAGAGAATATTACTAATATTTCCTTCTGAAATGTAGTGAAATGTAACTAAAAAGTGGCTTGAGAAGAACTGACCAAAGTGAATTACAAGAACTAGAGTAAATATACTTTTACAACAATACTGTGGATATATAAAGTTTCTTATTTGAACTTTGCTGCTGCAAAGTAAACTGTTTCAAAGCTGAGCTAACCGCCTGCTAGCTTCATATTTAGCATGTAGTTATTCAAGAAGACAATTCAGCGTCACAGATTGTCGTTTTATCAATAATTGTACAGTAAATTATGTTAGTCCAAAAATAGATCGTATTATCTTTGTCAATAACATCTTTTTCAGTTGACCAACCAAACTCAGCGGCCTACTTCCACTTTACCTTCCACAACAGACCGGACGGATCAGTCTAGATATATTACTGTGCATTTGTATTTTTATATAAACAAACTTCAGTTAAAATCAAACAATTCAAGTCTCCAATATCCACGTCGCTCTACTAGAACCTGTCAGCAGGGGGCGCCAGAGGCGAGATACCAGGAGAGAGCTCAGATTATTCCACATGAACATGAACAGTCATGTGCCCACGTCAACTTCTTGGAACTTGGGATGAAAAAGCAGCTTTGATTGCAATCACTACAAAATATCGCATCCATTATCAGTACTTTTAGTAACACGATTAGTCCCATACAGACTCCGTCGGGGTCAACGGAGACGGTTGAATCAGTAGCTGTGTGATGCTGCACTCAGTATCAGCTAAGCAGTTCTAAATGGTACAAAATGTAAAGGGATAGTGAATAAAGTAAACAGATGATTCTAATTTGAGCCTTTACCAAACTACTATAGACTTATTTAAAAAAAAGAGAGCCGCCCAAATACTTTCCTGGGTTTGAAGTCTGTCTCAAAAATGTTGCTGTTGAGTCGTTCCCTTTGTGATTATATATTGTTGATTCTGTCACAGCGCAGACAGACATGTGCATCACTCAACTGGCTTCAACTATCATACATGTTGTGCTAATAATGAACAACACTGCATTGTAATGCAAGTCAGCTAATAATAGATAATTAGTGCAATATCAGTATGGCTTTTTGTAAGTACTCTACTGCATTAAGTAACAAAGACACTCGGACATCATCTGTTTTTTATTAACCTTTTTTTAATGAACCCTGATTATTGTTTAATTACAAATGAAGAGGGACAGAGAAGAGAAACTCTAGTACAGGTGGTTCCTCTATGATAAAAACAAAAAATAAGAAGTCTCCGTCTCCCCTCTGGAGTGACAGCTCCTTGTTAAGGTCCAAACGAGGGTAGAGACAGGACAGGAGACCGGGGGACACATTTAAAATACAATGCTTAAACAGTACAAAGCTTTTTTTTCTTACACAATCCACCATAAGGGGAAGAAAATATATATGTACAACATCAAATAAAAATGGTTTATTTCCCCCTGCTGTATATCATTTAGGGATTATATGACCCTCTTCTTTTCCATGGTAACGTGGGTATAAAATCAACATAAGTATAAAAAAAGAAGAAATCATTAAAAATAAAATGCACTGAAGCCCACTAAGTTGAAGTTCCTGGGAGAGTGCAAAACAAGAACGGACAGGAAACCAGGAAAAGAGCAGAATAATCAAAAACAGTCACGTTAATAATAGAATTACAAGAGTAACAGTAAATAAGTCAGGAAAAAATACAGAAGAAAATGCCAATGACAAGCGGGGCGCGGCGGGGAACGGTTCTTTCTCACCGCACACTCTGAAGCGGCTACATCGGCCCCTAAAAGTTCATTTGTTGATCTTTTACTGGCACTTGTAGCAATTTGCTGACAGTAAATGACCCTTATTCAACGGTGATAATGTAAAACAACCCAATCAGAAGTAAGAGATGTGTGTGTGTGTGTGTGTGTGTGTTATTCTATGATGGAGGAGCTGAGATGTGAGTGACGGCATAACCATAGAAACCACACATGCACAAGTGCACGTACACACACACACACACACACACACACACACACACACACACACACAGCGAGGAAAATGAGCTGGGTCGGCTTTGGGAAGTCCCTCTTTCTCCAATCTGCAGATGCTTTATGATGTCGTTTCCGTTCCACTGTGTGTGTGTGTGTGGCAGCGATTGTCTGCCTCCTCCTCCAGAGAGACCGTGGGGGCGTGTGATGTCACATGTGATGTCATGTTTCCCTTTATTCTAGGCTCACTGTAACCAGGGTGTGTGTGTGTGTGTGTGTGTGTGTGTGTGTGTGTGTGTAGGGTTCAGAGCAGCCCGTGCACACGCCTATCACACAAAGCCGACCCGGCACAGAGTCCAGAGTCCGCGCTTGAAGCAGGGTCCGTTTGCACCGGCAGCTGGCTGTGAGGTGACCGGCCAGCTTTCACCCAATCACAATCACCCGGTCCACTCTGAAGGTGCGTGTCGGCGGCGGCGGCTCACCGCTTCAGGTACTTGGTGAAGCCCCGCCTGTCGGGTAGAACACGCCCACAGAGTGTGACTCGGCTCCCAAGACTCTCCTGGGGGTCAAGTCGCTGATTTGTCCTCGTGCCGTCACGCCCTCCATTGCCTGACTACGCAACAACTACAAACAGTACAATATAAACACAAAACGGATGCCGGCGGCCTTCGGCGCTGCAGCTCAGCGATGGAGAGAAGGCAAGAGTGAGAAGGCAAAGGCTGAATGATGCTGGAAATAATATGCCCGCTGAATACATACATATCTTTAACATTAAAAATAGTAGGATTTTCCTGATTTGTATCAAATGACCATATTGAAATATACTATTTGAATTCAATATATATTTGAATAAAATATATATGTGTAGTTTTACTTTTTCTGCATCTCTCTTTTACAAAAAACAGAAGGCATGGTGGTGCTGTGTGTGTGTGTGTGTGTGTGTGTTAAAACATGCTGGGGGCAACGTGACAAAACTCTTGTTGGCTCGTAAAAAGGCACAATCTTATTTGGAATTGTTCGCTAAAATGGGAAATGGTTGTTTTTCCACTTAAAAAGAAAAAGAAAAGAAGAACTTCTTTCTTTCTGATGTCTCAGCGAAAGTTGGCCTGAGTTGAACTCGACGTGGGGGGCACCCCCCCCCCCCCTCCCCGAGGGGCAAACCGGTTCGCTCCGAACGAGTCCTCGGATCACTGCGAATGCCCTAAAATACTGTCCCGTGTCAGCGAGAGGCACAAAGAATACTTTAAAACGCTCAAACTAAATAAATGGTGCCACAGAGCGCTGTTGATCCGTCAGAGGGAGCAAAACAAACCACGGCGCCACGCACACGGGATCAAGTGGGACTAAGAGAAGGAGGGGGGGGGGGTTCGTCCTGGTGACGTAGGACTCCTCCGTCGCCTTGTGTCTTTGTACACTGTAGTGAACGATCGCTTGGTGTCCCAGCGGTTTCCTGGTGGTGGGGGGGGGGGGGGGGGCTCCTAGTCACCCCCTCGTTCTTTGTTTTCTCCACCCTCACCGCCCTCCACCATGTAAACGGCTGCTTGGCGATGCTCGCAGGTTGAGGGGTAAAAGTTTTTCTTTGAGAAACATCAGGATCTGTTAGTCTGTTGCTGCTGAGCAGAAATGTTTGGGGAGCAGTACCGATGTGGAGGGGCACTGGTGGGATTAAACAGGGACTAATGATCCTGTGTACAGGGGCGTTTCCATGGTAAAGATTTGTTATCTCTTAATGTTGTCGGTCACAGGAGAAATACTGCTGAGTTGGCGTTTGATGGGCCTGACGGGCCGAGCCTTGTAGACCACCAGAGGAACATCTATGTTCTTCTGCTTCTGCCGGCTCTGATGCCTCACGGCGGCGTGCTGACAGACCTGATCATGGGAGGGGGGATAATGGCGTAATCTCGTTCTGCGCTACATTGTGGACCTGTGTGGGTGGGGGGGGGTGGGGGTGGGGGGGGGGGGGGGGGGTGGGGGCGTCCCGTGGAGTCCTTTGAGGAGCCTGCGAGGTCAGTGTAAAATACCCTGCTCCTTTACATGATGCTCCTTTACATTTCCTACATATGAAACATGTTCTGACATCAAAAGTGTGCTTACATTACTTTTCACTTACTGCAGCTAAAGCACACAGAACCCCCCATGTACACAAGTCGCAAGGCATTATGGTCTAAAACGATTACGTTTGTAGACACGACTCGGAGCCTTTTGTTTCCAAGCAGAATGTGTGTGTGTGTGTGTGAGTGTGTGTGTGCGCATGTGATGCTCAGCAGCCAGTGTTCTCCAGAGACAGCTGCGCTGTGGCCCTCTGCAGCTCAGAGCTCGCTCTGCGCTGGGTGGGGGGCGGCGGCAGCATCAAGCCCAGAATGACCCCTGCCGCTGCTCCTCCTCCTCCGCCGCTCGCCACCTCTCCCGCCCCCCCTTTCCTCCCCTGACGCTCCTCCCCCTCAGCCCGGACTTTCTTGTCCTCGGCCTCTTCCCGCTCGCCGTCCGCCTCCATCCTTTGGTCCTCGCTCCAGCGGCGCTTGAATCGCAGTTTGAGCGGGATGCAGAGCGTGCCCCCGGGGCTGATGGGAGCCGCCTGACCCGGCTCGCTCTTCAGGTTGACTGGCGGGAGGAGGAGGGCGGGGCCGACGGCAGGGGTGGCGGGGGTCTTGAAGACCTCCTCGTCGTCGTCGAGGTCATCTTCGGGGTTACCGTGGGGCGGGGCGGAGAGGCTGCTCCCGCTCCCGTTGCCTTGGTGATGGCTGTTGAGCAGATGGTGATAGTGGCGAGCTGATGGGCTGAAGATGTCGTCATCCCGGTCGTTCTGATTGAGCTCATCTTCCTCACTGATGTCAGTCACCTCCACCTCTTCCTCTGACTCGATGTCAGATATGGGCTCCACCTGCAGAGGAGGAAGATTTGACGGGATGTTAAAATGTTTTAGGGGCATTTCAGAAACCCCTGAACCATCACATGCAGTGTGTGTGTGCGTGTGTGTGTGTGTGTGTGTCCTCACCTTGATCTTAGGGGGCCCAGCAGAGTTGATTATCTGGCTGGACCCTAAGTATGAGGAGGACTGGCTTGAGGAGGAGGCGGACGCCAATGAGCTCCCAGAATCGCTCTGCTTGCGCCCGAGCGGCGGCGGCTGCAGCTTGAACTTGAACGGCGATGGGTGCAGCGGCCCGTCCTCCCCGCCCCCTTGCTGGTGGCCGAGCGAGTGAGCGAGCGGCAGGGGCGGGCCGTGGAGGTGGTGGGCGGCCCGGCTTCTCGAGGGTGGGGCGGTGGGGCTGGGGGATGATGATGTTGGGGTAGTGGAAGAAGGCCCGGGGACTGAGGTGGTAGTTGTAGACGGACTGGGTGTGGGCCTGCAGGTAGTGCTTCATGTCCTCCGGGTTGAAGGAGAAATGGGAGCCCAGCATGGGGGAGGACATAGAGGGAGACGGTGTGTAGGGCATGTGCGGGGTGGGGGTCATGGACAGCGCCGGAGACAAAGTAGGGCCCAGAAGCCCCCCGGGGCCCGGCAGCGGGGAGACGGGGAACGGAGACAGAGACTCCGGGTGGTGCCTGGGGCCGTGTCTGCCCAGCCCCGGGTTGGGGTAGATCCTGAAGAGGGAGTCGTGCGTCAGACGCGGAGGGAGCAAGCCCCTGTAGGCCCGGTCGGGCCCCGCGCCCCGCTCGTCGGCCCCCACGGCCTCCTCCAGCTCCGAGTTGGTGGAGGTGCCGTCGCTGCAGTCGCTCACGGAGCCGCGGGCCATGCGGCGCGCCACGCTGCTGAACATGCCCGGACTACGCAGCTCCTCGCTGGAGGAGAGGACATCCGACGGCGTGGAGGGGGGGAAGCGGAAGTGGCTGCCGCCGGTTGGCACCGGGGGGGCGCTCTGAGGGACGCGGCCTGTGAGGAGGAGAAGATCCACGATGTAAATTAGCAGTAAAAAGATGAGGACGACAGGAGAAAACAGGCAAAGCGGCCGTTTAAAGTGAGGAGAAAAGGGGAAAGTGGGCAATGAGTGGGTCACATGTCTCCCATAACTCAGACACAGAAAGAAAACACTGGGTTACTCAAAGCCACAAGTTCCCTTCTCTTTCTAACCCCCCCCCCCCCCCCCCTTTCTTCTGCCAGAGAGACTGTGGGACGGCAATAAATTCTTGGCATCCGCGCACGTGCCAGAATTAAATATTGGAAAAGTTGCTCTTACTGCCATCACAAACATGGGTTGGGCTCCTAGATTTTTTCCAGTACCGCCGAGTGTCTCACAGCCATGTGTGTTAGCGACGATGAGAAGTGTGTGTGCGTCGGTCTGTGAGCCCATCGATCCAGATTGACGTGGGCATGTGACCGTCGTACCAAACCATCGTATCACAACATGTCATGTGTGTGGGCCACATCACACGCAGGCTATAATTAAAGTTTCGTGCCGCACTTATGTCACCCAGTATCCAACGCTCCCAGATGGGCCTTGTTTACACTGGGTGGCCGAGACCAGAACGGGAGTCGGCTTTACAGGGGGGAGGAGAGGGATAATCTGGGACGTGGCACACTGATGTCTTAGAAGGCAGATACACGCACGCACATTGCACCCAGGATTTGTGTACGTGATTTGTACTTCTATCATGATCTTATCGGATTGTGGTAAAGGTTTAACTTTCTGTATATGAATATAAAGTATATAGAGTATAGAGTATAAAACTCTAGATAGACTTTTTACTCCTTGATCTGCGGTTATTGCTTTTCACGTCTCCCAATTTTGTTTACATTTTAAAAATCATAAAAGTGTTTCATTTGTGAAATATTTGTCATTGGCTACAGAAATGTGTGTGTGTGTGTGTGTGTGTGTGTGTGTGTGTGCGTGTGCGCGTACCGGAGCCCATGTCGATGAAGGGGTAGTTGACCAGCACTAGTTTGTTGAAGTTGAACTTGTAGGTGAACCTCTTCCCTTTGGTCTTGTGGAGGATCCTCTTGTTGTAGTAGTATCTAAAAGGGCAAAGGGCAAAGGTCAAAGGACAGGTAAGAGCATTATCTCCCAGCGAGTTACCGGCTGTAAATACGGATCTCATCAGCAGCGGGCCGGATAACACCAGATCCACCGCACTGTATCATGCAGACTATGGACTGAAGTGACAGAACAACTCACAGTTCATCAATCAAAATCACCAAAGTCCACTATTTTTCCCCAAACCGGAATGAGCTGTGATACGGGGGCTCGTGTGGTGACAATTATGGCGCGTCTCCACCGAGCGGTACGGTACGGGTCCCTTTTATTTGTGTCTCCACTGCCAAAAGTTGAGAATGGTACCAGAAATCCGAACCGTACCACTTTTTGGGTACCCTTCCGTTGGGGTACCTGGCACAGTTGTTTGGTACTAAAGGGCGGAGCTAGACTCACTGCAGAGCGTCGATTGGTTGAAAGAGTGTCGTCATTTGCGCGTGCCGCAAGGGGAAAGACAACACACGAGGCGCCATTTTTAAACAACAACACCGTCGCACCGTTCCCGAATTCGCCTGTATTTTTCCGCTGTGTTTTTCCTTGCAGCGTGTAGCCTTTGCTCAAACAAAGATGGTCGTCTCCTTGTGACAAACAGCCACATATCGAGACGCAAGAACAGGATCGGCTGTCTGTCCTCCATTATTGTTTGCGGTTAGCTTTCAGTTTTCGCGCGATCGAATGACGTCAATCTACTTTCCGTCATACACCACGCCTATCAAGTAAGGGTACTGTTGGCGCTGGAAACGCTCGCCAAATCATGGTTAACAGACCCGACCCGTACCGATCCGTACCATACCGTACCGCTCGGTGGAAACGCGCCATTAGTACCGTTGGCCACAGCTTTTATGTCTGTCAGTCAGACAGGCAATCAATCCCGCGGCACTTTCCTGTATTAGATAAACGTCATGAAATGTAACGGACCCGTCCCAACCGCTAAGTACTTTTTAACAGATATCCATTTTTTCCCCTAAAAATGCTTTTTTTAAATTCTTATTTGTGAATCTTCATCACTTTCTGCAAACTTCCTCTAGTTGATATCTTTTGGAAAAGCTTCCTTGAAACACGTGACAAAAAATATTGGGCCCTGCAGACCAATTGGGGCTATGTTTATTTTTTCCACACGAAAAGCCAGTTAAATGTGAGCAGGTGGACATTTCATCATCCGGGAGAAAATGGAAACGGGTCGATAACAAAGGAATTAAAATGAATATAAAACAAAAAGGGCAATGACGTAGCACAGGGCGACAGTAAGTGAGCTAGTAAGTAGACGCTGAGGGCCAACAGGGAGAACGTCTCCTGAACAGGATAGAAAGGATATGGGACAGAGTGCAAACAGAAAAGACTTCAGGTATGCTACATTATTTTATGCACATGTACCAGAGCCAGATGTTTGGCCCCTCTTCTTGGCTGGTAGTTCATGAATGTTCTGCGCTGTGGAAACATGGCGCATTGTTCCAGGGATGAGAGTCGGACCTCCAGTGTGTCGTAACACTGGAGGTCCATCCGCTCCATTCGGAAGCTCACAGGTGCTCGTTCCACGTCAACTGCCAACGCATAGCTCAGCAATTTAGATTTCCGAAGCTGCAAAGTCAGCACATTTCGGAGTGAACTCAAATGCAAAGTGCGTCCGGTTTATCAGCGAAGCGCGCGGCCTAGAACACAGCGGTGGAGACGTGGTTTTGTCAGCGTTTGGCAACGCGTGACCCAAGTTTCCTCGCTGCATCCGAGTCTCTCACAGGCACAGCTTGGCTGGGAAAGAATTCACTGCATCATTCATGTGTGTGATCACACCCCTCCGTCCCTGAGGATGGAGATTTAGCGTAGTGAGATACTCGGCTATAAAGGACAGCTCATATTGCCACGTCGCAGCCCGGATCTCTGTGCTGTCCAGGCTGGCAGGTTCAGCACTTTCCCACAACTTATCCGCCGCGCCTCTGTGTGACGGGACACATGGCCGTGCTCCGAATCAAAGAGTAGACAAGAGTTTGACAGGTCTGGTCTAGACCCATTGAGACACTAATGGCACTGGGCTTGGGGGGGGCTCCTGGAAACACCACAGGGTTCGCCCAAAATGAAAGTTTAATGAATAAGTGGTGGGAGTGGTGAGATTGTTGATGTGAATGCTGATGAATCAGCAGATAGAAACACTGCAGTCGCACTGCCTGCATGCTGCTCAGCATCACCCAGTGAACCGGGCTCATCCGCCAACAAGCCGCTCCCAATGTGAACACGTGGCTGGATTCAAAATCTCCCAGTGGTTCCTTAAGGAAGCGAGACAGGCGCTCCCGCCCGGGCGGCTCCATTAGTGGGGGCCGCATTAGTCAGGGGAGACACACGGAGCGGCATCGAGGAGTGGGGAGCGAGCTGCCGACAGCTCACCCGCAACATAAAATGGCACCCACTCAACCGCATTCATACTTCTGTACAGAAAAACTCAAACCAGCGTGTCTCATTCAGCGGAAACTGGTCACTTCCTTCTGGGAACCGAGATGCGTCCAAGTCCTCTAGGGCTTCGGGACAGTGGTTCCATTTGTGCGTAGATGTATGGATTCACTGGGACGTTGAATGTGAACAGGTCTTGTTTATTGGTTACAATAAAGCTGCTCTCTTATTTTGGCTACATAGATAAGACGCTAATAAGAATTATCATTACAAATGCAAACATAAAACTACAGTAATGGAATACAAAGTTACATATCTGTAAAGTGGAGTAATGTTCATACAATAGTATGATGTGTGATGAAACTAATTCAAGTGAAAACTGTGCTGACTGTAAATCCTCTATCTACTGTTGCATAGAGCTGCAAACAGCGTGGAAGACTTGGGCGGCAAAGGGACAGAACCTTTCCGAATGTTTCCATGAGAAGTTAAGCTGGGGAATTTTTACCTTTTTCTTCATTAAACCAAGCAGGGAACTTAAAGGTAGTTGAGAAGGAGACTAGTACAGCCCAGCTGGACCCTGCTGCAGCTCACCGTCTGCCAGAAACTGAACATAAAACCGTGTGTTGCTTTTAACGTCTTTGTCTTTACCGAGCGCATTGACAAAGTGGTAAACTGAAGACATCTTCATTTGAATACAAGTTTATTTGTATACAGCAGGCCAACGTTTTACAGCAGTGAGGGTAGGATGCATGTATGCCCACACAAAACTACACCATCACCTGCAGTGTCCCTACCATTCAATGGGGGGGGGGGGGGGGGTGTCCCGTCCCCCCACACGGCACCGCCCCGCCTCCCCAAGGAAGTCTTTTCACATTATCCACTGATCTCTGTGCACGGGGGAGTTCTGTCCCAATGGGCACAAACAGACGCGTCCACACACGCGTCCACGCTCACTAAAACCAGAAGTTCTTTACATTTAGAAGTGAAGGGGTGGGGGAGATTATCAAAGGGAATATACTTTTTTATTTAGTGTTCATGTTTTTGTAATAAAGTTCTACAAATGGACTAAGCCAAACATGTGCATTAAAATGTTTGCATATGACAAGGTGAATACAGTTAAATTACCAACATTTCCAGTTAATTCCTATTCATTTCCATGGAAAGACTCTTTTCTGGAATTTTGCCACCTTATGGATGACACATGAATCTAAACTGTGTGCAGCATACGCCTCACCCTAAAAAGATGGAAATAAGATAAGATTGTTGCAGCAAGGTAAATTATTAGTTTAATCTCATCAGTCACACTTGTAATGAAACGCAACCTATATAACGTTTGTCATTCTGACGAGCCCCTGCTCCTCTGGGAGTATGAGTCACTGGAGATCTGTGCAATGCAGAACAAAGGGAAATGTGTGGGAAGTTGAGCAAATATACAATACTATAGTGCTCCATTGAAAAGAGGAATGTGTGCAATTTATCTTCTGGGAGACTGTTGACGTTAAGGATGTATGGAAAATATGACAAGCGCTTAATCTGCGCTGAGGTGAAGTTCTTTCAGACTTTGTTCAGGTTGAAATTAACACGTACGTGGCAAACACACATACACGGAAAATCACACAGCGGGCACAAAAAAAACAGTTTGGTAGAAACACGCTGCAGGCAGTCAACGGCAGTGTTGGTGAGCAGGTGTTAACAAAAGTTGTGGGCCTGCGTGTGCCGAATAAAAAGAGGGCTGCGAGAACATAATGTTCACAGCTCTGTGTGTATAGATGGACGGCACTTTGAACGAGGGGGGAGTGCGCGCACACACACACACACACACACACACACACACACACACACACACACACACACACACACACACACACACACACACACACACACACACACACACCCTCAAACAGTGCTGAGTCAATATAGGAAAGCTGGTCTCACATGGCGACCACAGGCCTCGTCGGGCCTCCTGCTTTTTCAACATCATTTGAATTTTCTCCAAAAAATAAATAAATAAATAAATAGACTCACAGTATAGAACCTCTACGTGTTGTGCACATGCGAGTGTGTGTGTGTGTGTGTGTTTGGGATCAAAACCCACCAATGTTGAAGCATGAAAGACCCCCCACATGTGCACTACAAAGACAGAAGCATCAATCGGAGACTTAACAACCAACACGGGGACAACTGCAATATGAATTACCAGCCGTTGTTCATATAAAAAAGGTCCACAAACCACAGAAAAGAGGTTTGCAACAAGGTTCGGCTCTCCAGCTGCTACTAACAGAGAAAGTAGCTCCCCCTAAATGGGGGTTTACTTTGAAAACTGTGGGCTCAATTCCCTGTTAAATGGAAACATTTGCCACCTCTTATGCGGTTTGTCCAATCAGCATTGATGCTTGATGCAGTGAGTTGGAGCAACAGATTGCTCAGCTGTGTGTGGGTGTGCTGTATGGAACCCGAGAGCAGAGTTTGTGGCTCTGGACGTGACGGCGCCGTAGTTTGATGCGAGGGACAAACTACAGGCTGCCATTTTCATATTGGATTCGCAGTCTGTGGATGTGGCTCAAACCCTCGCTCTCCCCGCTTGTATTGCAAACTGCAAGAATGGCCATCCCAAAATATGGGCGAGGAGGGTGTTAAGCGCCCGGATACGCTGTACGTTAACAAGTTCCGCCATGTGCGTTGGAGTTTAGGACCGGAGTTATGCAGACATCCGGTGCAAGCATCTCACATAGCTGTCTCAGTCACTCTCATCTGACGGTTGCAGCCCTTGTTGAGCCTGCATCAGCAATTTGTCAATTTGAAATATGCGTTTTACTTTGAAAGATACTTCCATTGAGTGATATTAATCGCATCAACGTTTTGCACGACTACAACGTAAAGGAAATATTAGCCATTACATCCCTCTGAAACCACGTTTATCTGGACGGTGCCTTTTAAAAAAGGCAAAAATCGATTTGTTACGTCACGGGTTGTTACCAAACATCTTTAAACATGCAGTCACATGAAGTCAAAGACAAAACAAGGTTGAAGCAACAAACAAGACACAGATGGGCTGGAGGAGGGCTGACATATAACAAGGTGTTAAGTGTACGCGCGTGTGTGTGTGTGTGTGTGAGATGAGGCAGTGTAACTAGTCATCACCATGGCAAACTATAACCCACACCAACCTACAAAACAGGAGGCGACATTGATGACTAGCAGTGTGTGTGTGTGTGAGTACAGACTGGCAGCTAAATAAAGCTCTGCAGCATCCCACATGTGCTCCACGGAGGGTGGAGGTTTGTTGCTTGTTGCTCAAGTTTCAGCACGAAGCGCAGGAGCTCATTCACGACTCAACACAAGCGCATTTTCCTTCCCCAACACTCAAGATGTTACTTAAGATTCAATTCATCAGAGGAAAAAGAGAGGAGCACAAGGCAGAGTTCAAAGGTCTCCTATATTCACTGTGTCTGGGCTCTTTGCCATTAATCAGACTCCTCTGGTATCAACGACACATGACCTCTCTCTCATATATATATATATAAAAATAATGGGAGACACCGTTCTGACTGTCTTTTTCAAGCAAGAGCTGCTGTGGGAAGTGACGCTGTGATCAGAAAGGTCTAACGGGTGGGGGTCGGGGGGGGGCCCACACCTGTTTGGCTGGCGAGCTACTTTTCAATCAACCAAGTCACGGCAATTTGCAATTGTTTTCTTTCTGTAATTCTCACAATAGTGAAGTCAGCGCGGGGTCAGTCTCTTTCAGCTGCTCTTCTTCCATAGCAAGGTCCCGCTAGTAGAGCTAACTTATAGTGCCAAACTATTTCTGGGTCACAATAGAGTCTCGGAAGCATTCCCAATCGTAACACGGCGACAGTGTGCAGGGAACCGACCTTCTCCGCCTGGACATGTGTCGTTTGTTGGCATGTAAAGTCCACATGGATTCCCACAGACATCAGTAGAATTGAACCAACTTGGACCCTTGCCGCCATGTGGCGTTGAAAAATACAATTGAATTGAGACATCGTGCTTCTTTTCCATCCGCTTCAGTCTCACCTGAGAGCTCGGCTGAGCTTGTCGTAGTTCATCTGCGGTTTACACTTCCGGGCCCCCCACAGACGGGCCACCTCATCGGGGTCCTTGATGACAAACTCCCCGTAGTCTCCCTGCCAGGCGATGACGTCGTGGTACTCCTCTTTCCTCAGCAGCTCCAGGATGAAGTGCCACAGCTGGATCTGTCTGGAGCCCGGGCTCGACTCAGGCTTGTAGGCCCAATCCGGAAAGGCAAACCCTGGGGGGGGCGGACAGGAGAGAAGGGGGCGTCAGAGCGGAATGATCATCAACGGCAGCGAAAGACCGGTTAGGCACAAGAAGGGCTGGCAAGACACCAAAATGATGACTTGAGTATCTGCCATAAACACCATGATACGATACCAGAATTCAACACAATACCACAAATAAGGTATGATAACACAACATTAGGTACAACAGCTGGTTAATCACGTCTAGTCTTGAAAGCCGTTGGAATATAAAATGCAGGAGAACGCTGGGTGGTTTCTTCTGACTCCAGGTCAATTCTGATCATGGGTTAGGACGGGCATATCTATGACTGGCCTCTACCCTTCAACTGGTCCTGGTCAAAAAAATCATTGCGATTCAAGATATTATGGCGATAATCTACCAAATCTGCTTTAAACTCTGCGTTGACTCTAAACTTAACCGCATTAACAGCTAACAGTCCGGGCCGTGCACTGTTTGTTTGAGACCAGCCGCCCTGGTTCTGAAAGACAAAGATGACGTTACACTTTAAGTGAATTAAAGGTAGAAGCACTTTGAGCAAGACGTGAACAAAGTGATGTGTCCCGCTAATATATACATATCAAACGTTGCTGCCGAACCTCTTTCAACCAATATAATGGAACATTGTGTTTGATCTATTTAAAAAAAAAAAGGTAGACATTGAAAAGGCAACACGGGACTTTTGGCAATGGCAGAGGATGAAAAGCGAATCCTCGTTACTTTTCTGTCTGTGGCTTTGTTGCCGAGTGGAACCAGAGAATTTGGACTAAATCTGTTCCCAGAGGCCACAGTCACATAGGAACTCCACGGCTACCTGCATCAAAGCTGCAAAATCAGCGCTGTTATAAGAGATTAAGAGGCCTTGAGATATGTGCAGACAAAACAAGCTGCGCTTTTATAACTACTATCAGGACGCACACTCACACAAGCACACCATTATCTAACAGTTAAAAGTATAGGCTTGGAGTTGTAAAGCAGTGGGTGGCAATAAAAAGACTCAACACCACTTTAACACAAGGCCAGGCTGAGAGGCTGCATAGCAAAGGCAAAGTGACACACACACACACACACACACACACACACACACACACACACACACACACACACACACACACACTCCTCATTAGGACCAGATGTGTCTTGGCAATCAGGCTGAGAAAGCACAGGGTGGGAAACATGTGGGCACAATATAACAATGCAGAATTTTGTGTGTGCGTGTTTATGCAAGTGTAAAGAAACACAGTACCCTAAATACCAAGGTTACAATCAGTTTCCCACACTCCACCGCTTTAACAATGACACGCAGTGACGGACTGGGACACCGGTTCTTGCCTCCAGGTCTAAAAACACCAGGAGCTGTAAAAAAACAAACTGTCTAGTATCAGAATGTCGACTTTTTGCCATCATTCTGGAAACATCCATATGGGAGTCAGAATCATGAACCCTACGTCATGAAAACAGCAGAACTAGAGGTGGAAAAATGATACAGCTGCCAACTAAATCCAGAGTTGAGTTGATCTGAACATGTCCAGATGGTAATTAAACCAATTATGAATTTTCAATTGACAAAATATTGGCTCTCAACTGCTTTCTGCATGCTTATATGGAAATAGTAAAATACATGTAACAAAAGTGGAGGTGTGATGTCTAACCCTCCTCACAACTCGTGGTGCCCATCGGCCTTTTTTGGAACTCCAATGTCAGTCAGGACATTACTAACGACACGCATGCTGCTTTGTCGAAAGAAAAAGAAAAAAGAGGAGTCTGAATTGAGGAACGGCCGACTTTGCAGACTCTGACAGCAGTGGTCTGAGCGTTTACAGCAGGCCTTCACATGTGGTCGTCCTTATCCGTGGATGGCATTTTAATAGCAGGTGTAAACGGATGACTCATGGAAAAACCAACCAAGACGGAGGAAACCAAAGTCCCTGTCAGGTGTGCAAAGAGCAACTGGAAAACTCGTAGTAGTATTAGTAGTAGTAGCACTGCGGGCAGATTTATTATGGCTGCCCATATTGTCAGAGGAGGTTAAAGTTCAGGAGCAACCTTACTAGCATTGCGTGTGTCTGCATCAACAGACACCAAATCTTGCAAGCTTTCCAACAGGGCCACTTTCTCTCCCATTATTCCCATTGATAAGGGCAAACAATCAATCGCAGTGTACTATCAGCTCTGACACAACGGAGGAGCTTGCTCATAGTAGCATTAAGAAGGACAGACTCCCGTCCTGGTGACTAATAAACCGCATGCTGCCATCGGATCTCCTGTGGTGCCCTGGGAGCGAGCCAAGAGGCGGGCGAGCTGGCTGTGATGGTGGCGAATAGTCATTTGAAGGCAGTTTACTGACGGGTAGTGCATGATTCATCGCGCAGACACGGCCGCCGGGGACAGGGTTCGTTGTTGTGACGGACGAAGCACGCCACTCAACAACACGCGCGCGCACAAGGTGACACATAACAGCAGGGGTGGATTAAATCAGAGTGGGTGAGCTAATATCCCCCCCCACAGGTAGGTGGGTTCATGCGTGGGTGCGCACAGCACACAGACAAAGAAGGCAAGAATAGAAACCGTGCCCGTAGCACACACATGTGTGTGTGTGCGTGCGTTCTGCAGATGTCCCTGCTGACTCATCGCTTTGTGCGTTCGCCGCACAGATTCTGCCTCGACGCCGCTGCCACCCCTTTCTTAGCCTCCTCTCTTTCCTCCCCTCCGCCATTCCGTCCCTCCCGCACTCAGCCTCTCCTCAGACGCGCCGTCTCCTAGCAACGAAAAGCTTTCAGCTCTAAAAATAAATGGCCGAGTCACGACGGACGAGACAAAATGTGATTAATTTACAGAATCCTGCCAAAAGAAGTTTAGGGTCGGGGCGGCGCTCCAGAGTGACCACAGTGTGAGAGGTCCTTCTGAGAACTGCAGTCACAGCGCCGCCCCCCCCCCCCATCCCAGACAAGTTCCCTCATCCATCCCAATCTAGTTGAGCCTCCAAATTGCTTTAAAGTAAGAACATTTGCATCTGGAATCCATCCATCCATCCATCATCCATCCAGTCAGGTGGTTTTCTCGTCCTGGGTGCGGAGGACCGGAACAGAAAATGTCACAATGTGTGAAAAAAGATGTTGCTGAGGCACATCTGCTACAGCGGGTGGTTGATTTTTCCGCGTGTGAGACAGAAAAAGAGGAACGTGACTGAATAACTGTTGCGAACAAACTACGATCCCTAGAAGAACGTCAGTCCTCCTACAAGGACAAACACAATGCGAGCTAAATGTCACGAGCAGGAAGCAGGTCACCACTCTGTTCTTTTCTGCTGCTGTTCCTGCTAAACAGCTTTACAATTAGATTAGAGCACTTTAACTAGTTCTTCCAGCTTCTTGTATTACGTGTGCATGAAGAAAAAACACACATGTAAAATAGCACAAAACTACAACAACCTTTGGAGTGATTTCATTGGCATTGTGGTTTCATTGGCAAGTTTTATTGAGGGTACTTCATGTTTAAAAATAATAATCTTATTACTCTGTAAATCCTGTATTTTTCAATCTCTGTGGCCTTGTTCTTCACTGCCACAGAAACGTCCTGCACCTCTATGGAAACCGCACAGCGTTGCCTCGAAGAAGAGACGTACAAATGTCTTGTGCGGATAGGAGAGTAGAACAGTTATTATACTATTAGTCAAAACAAGCAAGTTGAATTTATTTTACTTAGTTGAAAATAATGCAATTCAAGTATCCATCTTCCCGTTGTATCAGTGTTGCCTATGTGGAAAATATATGTACTTTCAAAATGAGACATTTAGAATAAAACATTTTTGATGACACAATTTGTCCAATGGCCTGTCGGAAAGACGAAAATCAGACAATGGTGTTTTTACAGCTTCTAGCCGTGATAAACGGTGTAGTTCTGGCCATTGCTGAGACGCTTACAAACTAGTTATTGTTCTGACAGCTCAGGTCCCTTTAAACAAAAATATACCTCTTTTGTCCACTTTATTAAAAAAGTCTTTATATTTGGCAGATGTAAAGCATGTTTTTTGTCTTTTTTTTGTGATTCAAATGTGCCCTGCCAGCTCTGTTTCTGAATAAAGGGTTGTAAATTAATGTAAACTAACGCTCTTATCCGATTCATCGATTGATTAACCCTTTAACTGCCTGCTTGACATTTTGATTATTAGAATAATAATTGGTTGCTGCCCTGATGAGCGTTGACACACTAGAGTGCGAACTAATTTGTCCTCATCAGTAACCAGGGAATCGCTGGTCGGCCGTGCTGGACAGCACAACGCATCCGGACGCAGAACAAACCAGAAGCTCTGCCGCCGACAGGAAGAACTTCGGATAGTCGGAGGGGAGGCCAAACACGCCATTTCAGGCCTTATTGGAATTTACCATTGGAATTTACCATACTAATTTACCATTAGTATGCCGTCCCAGGCCACCTGCGCTCTCCTCTCCACGAGAAACATGGGATCACTCATCACCACGGAAACAACCCCCTACCCTACATCTGGGTATTGTCCAGAAAACGGCCTCCTCTACGTGCTCTCCCCCCTGACAAATTTCTTTAACATGCTGTTCCATTTATCCCCCCGTTTCTTTATTACCTCCCTTCCACCTATTCTTCAGTGGGTCTATATTTAGCTGCTGCTAAAGGTCGCTGTGTGTCTTTCTGCATGGGGCAGAGAGCGACGCATAGAGGCCGGGGGGCTGTCCGACTGCTGAAGTGGGCTTTTATCTGGGATGGGATCTGGATAACACAGAAAGGCAGGAAATAAACGGGTAGCGAGCAGGAAAAAGGGGAATCTCCGCTGGGCGTGTGCACGGGGTGCAAAAACACTCGTGCAAAAACAAATGGAAAGAATTATCTGAAAAGGTTCCAACCCAAATCCAAATCAGTCCAGCGGGTTTTGGGAGGGGTTGTGGGGGGCGTGGCTACACCTTTTTACAGGGTACCATTGTGAACAAAGTGTTGGAGCCGTCTGATGTCACTCACTGC